TCTCTCTCTCTCTCTCTCTCTCTCTCTCTCTCTCTCACTCACTCACTCATGTGGTCTCTCATCTCTCTGATGACATAAATTGGACTCAAATCTAATTTAATTGATAATTGAATTAGTCTTTTGGGTGACATTTCAGTTGAATGGCAGCGCATAATACGAGAGACTCATTGGCGGACGAAATGTCGACGAGTACTCCGATCGCGGATCAGATGAACGACATCCCATTGGCTGACGAGGACGCCACCGAAGAACTCAGCGATGGTATCGACTCGAGTCACACTCACAGCGACGAGAAGTTGTCTGAATTGAGCGCCACTTCACAGCGCTATCAACTCGACGGTCAGAGTATTGAATCCATACCATCAGTCTATACCAATGGCACCGACAGTCCCGGGGGTTTCCATAACTGTACGAATCCTTTGCCGACTATTTCTCACTATTAATACAATTATCTATTGATTATTAGCGTTGGATCCGGACTTAAGTCCCGATGAGATGGAGGAGAAGGAGAGACTCATCACTCAAGTGTTGGAACTCCAGAACACACTCGACGGTCAGTGCAGACGCCCTCCCGTCACCCCATTATCAACCATTCAAACCATGACTTCGTTTGATTTCGCAGATCTGTCACAACGCGTGGATTCCGTGAAAGAGGAGAACCTGAAACTCAAGTCCGAGAACCAAGTGTTGGGCCAATACATCGAGAATCTGATGTCAGCCTCGAGTGTCTTTCAGTCCACTTCTCCCAAATCCAAGAGGAAATCCATCAAAAAATAATTCTCTCGCAAAAGATCCCAACAAAATCAAAAGCAAACTATAATTTTAGGCAACATTTACTCAAAGGCTTGAACTCAATCACAACATTAGATTTGGTTATCAATTAATTGTCGATTAATTGGTTCCTTAAGACAGAAAAAGTAAACATAATTTTCCATTGATTTCCACACTTCTAGTCATGAATTCATTTGATTTTATTTACCATTTATTCTACACTTTCTATACGTTTTTTGTTTTTAATTATGTGTTTAAGACTCAAATGACTAAATAATATTAAAATAAAAGTATATATTATTACACAAAAACTCAGCGATTAATGAGACAATCAATGGCCACACGAGTGGTCAATTCAGGTATCAATGCCTGAATAGCCTTTGCGTCCTCTGAAGCGGGTCCTGAAGTCCACCTAAAGTGTGGAAATCATTGGTTAATGTGAGTGACAATCACATCACCAAAACTCATACCAAACTTCGTTTGCATTCATACAACAAATTTCTTAATTGATGGCATTCTTCCGGAACAGATGGGTGTCGTTCGCGAAGGCACTCGCGCGGAGTCTTGCGATCCTAAAGAATAGTGGACTCGTGTCAGTGATATGATCACTCAAATGGCATCAATTGGCACTACTTTTCGGACACAATCGGTGGCATTGATGCAGTACTTCAGATCCTCACGAATGGCAGAACAGGAGCGACCATCCGATTTGATGTCCTCTTCCGTGTCAAACACTCTGACCATTGCTTTGGATGGCACTGAAAGACACGACCGGATCAAGTGATCGTGCATTCAATGCATACACATGTGAGACAAACCTGCGATCGGTGTCTGTGGACAATGGGATCACCAGTTGGCCATCACGTAAAACAGTTATTAAATGGACACTGGTCAGTTGGTGCTTATTAATACAGTATGACTAAATATACCAAACAGTACACTGTGTACTGTACACAGAATAGTTTAATTGGAAAACATGTTATACGATGAGTGTGTGTGTTATCCATGAGGTGGTGCTTCTCTACCTCTGCCATCAAAACTTGACATTTAATGTCTATTCATATTATGTATATTCCGGTAATAAGTATTCCTCATTCCGTAGTCCACTCTCGAAGTTATTTTTCAAAAGTACTGCATTTCCTTAAAAATTATTTTATGAATTCATACGAAATGTAAACTCATTTTCCTTTATGTAAATCCTTTTACTTATGGAATAACTGTCAATAAGTTTTTATATTATAATTTATAAATAACTAAAAATAATTGTTAACACATGTTTGAGACAAAACTCGATTTTTAAAATAAATAGTGAATTCATGTGTTCATAATTGATTAAAGTGAGTGAATTTATTTGTATAAACAAAACATTTTTAATTGCAATAATGAAAAGAGTATTACATTAATAAGTTGTTATGAAATGTAAACTATAATTAAAGTTAATTTGTGTGAAACAAATGCGACCTAAAAATGAATTCAATGGCAAAAAAAGTTTACAAAAATTTGTGAGAATTTGAGTTTTTATTTAATTTCAATCTATAAAAGGCACTCATTTTATAAAACATAAAAGATATCATTTAATGTAGAAAAAGCATACATTTTATAGAACAGAATATTAATAAAAATATTTTATTAACAAGACAATATTAAATTTAGACTTAATTTCATTACAAGTGTCTACAAGATAGGAATATATCTAATAAAAACAAATGCCTTTAATTTTGTAAATATAATAGCGATACAGAAATAGCATATAAATACTAATTGAATGATACCTTCGGTGACGACAATACATATTATTCTATAAAATAATTCTTAAAAAAATATTCTTATGTATTGTTTGAGAAATATATATATAATATAATCAAATCAGACATGTATTGATAACAATTACAATATATTTGAATCAATTGAAGGAATGAATGAATCGAAGAATTTATATTCAAAACTGTTTGCCAACAAAAGTCCTTTGGATTCAAAGTCTTATTGACAGAAATGTTTTGTTAGAAAATATTTGTTTAATAGAAAAAATACATTAATTTTTGTGTTTTGTTCTAATATTATAGAGATATAGAGAAATGGTTTCAGAAAACAAAACCAAACATTTGATGATAAGTTAGACTTATGCTTTTGTTTCTTTCACTAAACTATCAATTCTTGAAAAAACAATTTTTTGTATGTTTTGTGTCTTTTCTGTGTATAAAATAATTTCACTTAAATTACTGTCTCTTAACAGTGTTTACATGTTCTCGAACTGATCCACACGTCGCTTAGTATTGCCTTTCCTTATCTCTCGTAATGTCTTGTATTTGTCTCTTCCCTGTCGGACATTCTCTTGATGTAAGACATCGTTTTTGGTTACTTTCGAGTCGTCTTTATTCAGCGCTAAGTCTTGTTGTAAGAGCTGTCAAACAATAGCAACAGAGAGTTAGTCGACATTCAGTTCATTGTCATCGCAGTGACCATACCTTCAGCTGTTCCTGAAGGTCCTTCTTCTTCGAAACTTCGGTCTCTCGTTCCTCTTCAGGTCGCGGGACGTCTATAGCACTGTCGCCATCGCCGTCGCCATTGAATTGAACGCCTGCAGTGACCATACCTTCAGCTGTTCCTGAAGGTCCTTCTTCTTCGACACTTCGGTCTCTCGTTCCTCTTCAGGTCGCGGGACGTCTATAGCACTGTCGCCATCGCCGTCACCATTGAATTGAACGCCTGTTTGTCATAGAAATAGAGAAACAAGTTGTAAGACAAGGGATGGGTATGTGTTGGTCAGGTCATGGGTGAAGACATACTCGTCTCTCCGTTCACGAGTTCGTCGTCGTTCTCCATCATATCGTTCTCCAAGACGTGATGGTGTTGTGGTGTCGTCGACGCTGCTATCAGTGCTGCGGCCGCCGCCTCCTGTTTACGTCGCGCCTCTTCAACCTCTTCCTGCAGACGACGCGTCTCTTCGTCCTTCTGCTGCACCTCCTCTTGGATTCGCTGAACCTCTTCCTGTTTGCGACGAATGTCTTCCTCGAGCTTCTCCTTCTCCGCGGCTTCCATTTGCTTCGATTCCTCCAACTTCTTCATCAACTCTTCCAACTCGTTCTGCTTCCTCTCCATCTCCTCCTTCGCCATTTGGAGTTGTCTTAACTGCTCCTCCAGTCGTCGGATGGTCTCCTGGGCGTCAATCAACTCCTTTTGTCTCTTTTCCATCTCTTCCTGCATTTGTTTCAGTCGATCCGCGTATTCCTGTTGTTTCTTCTCCGCCTGTTCTCGCGCTACGATCTCTTTCATCAGTTTCTCCCTTTCCTGCTGTTTAGCCAACTTCTCTTCTCTCGCCTGTGCTTTCATTTGTTGCACTTCAATGGTGTCCGGCTTTCGGCGTCTCATATATAGCTCGTGATTACCCATACATAGCGCGAGAATGCGTTTATTGATCCGAAGTCGAGGAGCGATGAACACAAAGTCCGGCGCCTTCTTGTCGATCGGTTTTATGACAAACCGTTTGTCGTTGAAAGAGATGTTCCGGATCTCACTCCAAGGAAAGCCTATTTTGGGCGTCAGTTTGTCCTCTTTCTCATAGATGTTGAGTCCGAGTGCGTCCACTCCTAACCACAGATCCGTTCCCTAGAACAAGAACTAGAGCTTCATCAAGTGCGGTATGTAGAGGTTCAGGACACGCTAGAAGTCCATGAGGTAGTAGCGCAGGAGCGCTCCGTAAGGGAACACAAGCCGGGTGGTCAACCACTAGGAGAGTTCCCACTGCTCTCGAGACAGTTTGTGCTGATCTGAGACTCGTTGCGGCAGAAGTCGGTCGTTCTGAAGGCCGTCCTCTTTGTGTGTTTCCGCGTTATAGTCGCCATACTTCGCCTGAACGGCATATGACGACAACAGCACCGACGTCTCGGGCGGACAGTATATCTCATCGCTTAGTATCCCGTTCTTCACCTGCAGGTAAAACAGGCGAAGAGTGATGTCTTGGATCAGCTCTTCGGCCACGTCTTCGGGGAAGAACTTCGACCGGAATTTGAATTGCAATGGATTTTCTTTCTTCACGTCTTGACTCATAACCTATTCATTAGTCAATCACACAATCAGTCCATCAATTAGTTAAATATATTATCCAACAGTATATTCATTGCATTCATTACACACTATATTAACGTTCATTTGCATTCAATTCATAATCTTATAAATAAAATTTACATTAATTCAGTGTTAAGTAATAATACCGCTAATTATCAATGCATTTCATATAAAATGTTATTCAAATGTATGCCTATTTGTGATAACACTGCAGTACTGTCTGATTATGCGGTACTTATTAATATAATATATACAGAAATACCTGTTATATTCAACAGGTATTCAAACGATTAATCAATAGAAATCTTCACTAAAATCTGCATATTTAGACAAATATATATATATATGTATTATAGTAATTATATTTAACACTAAAAATAATTATGGTTATTAACACAAAACAGACAATACTCGGCAATCAATACATCACTACATAAGTGAGTCACAAATGATGCAAATCTCTATAAATCATATCAATTCATGGAAATAACTTTCAATATAACAATTCTTTCTCAAAAGTATGCATTCATTGATTCAAATGACATTAATATCACTTCAAAACTCTTACCCAAACTCTGATCCGTATTCATGAAAGTCATGTCAAAAACAAAGTTAACATCAATTTGTTAGACATGAGACTCGTAAAGTATGCATTCATTGATTCAAATGACATTAAAATCACTTCAAAACTCTTACCCAAACTCTGATCCGTATTCATGAAAGTCATGTCAAAAACAAAGTTAACATCAATTTGTTAGACATGAGACTCGATATACAGTACAATATAATAGTTTAGTATTAATAGTAATAGTGATAGTGATAGGATAGTCATCACAATTTATGACAAATACATGACTATCTAATCGGTGGTCACCACCACTCATACCTTTTTGTTGAGCTTAAGCCAAGTGGCGTATCCTTTGCTGTCCACGTATTGCAGACCAAAGAACCAGATCTCACGCAAACCAATCGTCTTCACCACCTATTATCACAGCATAATAACCATCAGTACCACAGCATAACCGCCATAACTATGACTACAAGACCTGATCAAACAGTTGTTTGCCAGTAGTGTTGGGTTGGATCGCGAACTCCAGTTCCGCGTCCATTGTGGTCACCCTTACATTCACGGCTTTCGGCATCTTTACCACCAATTGATCCCACGATCACCACTCTGATCAAACAGTTGTTTGCCAGTAGTGTTGGGTTGGATCGCGAACTCCAGTTCCGCGTCCATTGTGGTCACCCTTACGTTCACGGCTTTCGGCATCTTTACCACCAATTGATCCCACGATCACCACCAATACGAGAAGATTACACAATAATTATGCACTGTATTTATAGCACAAATGTCAGTTGATTATCACCACAATCACAATCAAATCACTGCAATCCTGGGTCTGAAAAAAGGCAAAAAACACACAAACATTAGACACTAAACAATCAAATGTCGACAAAATAACGCCTAATATATTGTATTAAATATGACTGCATTGTAGTGCATATTATGATAGGTTTGCTAACTTCACACAACTATAGCCATAGTATACATTCCCAATGCTATCTCAAAAACTAAAACCAATTCATTTAACACATCAAATATAATACCAAATAAGTGGTGATACGAGTAATGAGACTAACGATACACAGAGTTAGCAGTGGTTTGCGAAGTCTATACGAGAAGTCTATACGAGAGAAAAGTTTGCATCAATTGCTGGCATAGAGTGAGCAGTGAGTCAATGAATTCACTGAATCTAACAATCATTACATTCACTGCAAGTGTCAGACATTCAGTGGAGAGTCAGTGGCGATGAAGTCGAGTCCACTCCACACACAACACACCAAACATTTCAAACATTCATCACTTTATGTGTTTTTTACATCCCTGTGCCAGCGGTGGGGACGGTATGCACAGTGCCATCCGCCCGCACGACCATTCAAATGTCATTTGGTTTTTGATTTTATCGCCGATTTATATAGCATTTCCTAATTGATTGATTAGTTTGACACAAAACATGCACTCATTACACAGCAATCGGTGTTATTTATTACCAAAATGTATATTTGACACTTTAATCAATACGTTTTGTAGTTTGAGTTACTTTTGCCGATAAATATTTATAAATATGTTTTAATGAAATCAATTCATAAATTATATAATTGTAGGTTAGGGTGAGTAATGATCAGGGATGTAGTGCATGGGTGGTGGTGGAGGTCAATGGCCTGTCTTAAGTATACGACCACTGGGTTTAGTATCACTTCTACTCATCTCAAGACTTTAAGCTGATCTCTAGACCTAAGCTGTTGTTGATCTCTGATCATTGATTGTCTATCATATATGAGATAATGGATAGTGAATGGAGTGAAGCATTTGAAGCTCTCGTATACAACAGTTTGATATTTGAGTTAAATTACGATAAAAAAATAAATACATTTTCGAGTGCTTTATATGATATAGACGTGTATTATATGTCATATTCAATACAATTAACAGTAAATGAAGACAATAATACAGCTATAGCTGAATACAACGCTATATAAGTCAAGGCTTTTACTATTATGAGGACGAGTGTAACCATAAACTTACGGCTATTTATAAATAGCTATTATACTGTTAGTTAGTATTCATACACTGTATGATATAATTGAAGCCCAATTACACTTTAAATACTTTTTAACTTAATTTAACTGCAATTATATATACTGTAGTCTTATGTTATCAAAATTAATAAGAAATGAGATCATAGAAAGTGTTATAAAGTTATAAAACTAAATGAATAGTGAATACAACGGCATGTATGCTGTAAAAGGTGTCGGGAGTCGGGGTATATGACAGGTATGAGAGGGGCGGTAGGCATACGGCGTGTGTAACATAACTATTGCCCAAATCAAGTGAATTGGGTTTTTGTCTATAAATGTTCACCACTTGTACTGTGCTATTGGAGTGGGTTTGCAATGGGTTTGCAATGGGTTTGTACACCACTTATCAGTTAGACTTATATAATACGGTACAGTAGTGTAGGATAAGGCAGTTGTATGTCATTCATGTCTGAATAGCGCCGGCATTTAATCACAATATCACTTAAACTGCAATACACTATAAACCGGTATTAATGCTCGCATACGCTATCAATGAGGAGTTGTCCCCCCAATGAGCACAGTTAGCAAACACAACACAATTCATGCTTTTTATCAGTAAATTCATTGAATACCTGAGATATTGGACGCTATGTACGGGCGACACAACACTAGCGCACCATTGAGTCAATACAAGCGTAACATTGGATGAAAACACAAATCAAATGAATGGTAATTAAAGCACAATTAAGGCATACATTCAGTGATGCAGTGGTGGAGTGCAGTGCTGTCAGTGGTATTGGTTTTGGCGATTTGAATGCCTCGCAAACGCCCCCTTCAGTGATGTCACCGATTATGTCATGCATTGCAAACACATCCGTATGCGAGGGGCCGGCAGATGGCGCGCGAGTGCTGCCTATAGTTGCCGTCAAAAACAGATCCACTAAAACGGCATTCAGTGTCGAAAACGCCTTAAATGTGTCTCACATTAGGATATCATTCATAAGTCAAGCCATTAGTCGCCGACATTTGCGATCAGTTTGTCTCTTAATGTTTGTCCCCTTTTGACGGATTCACAGCACGATTCCAGTCATTGAGTGTCCCTTCAGTGGGTTTGTGGCGATCAACAGTTGGTTCAACGACTATATCAACTGTCATTTGTGTGCTTCATTACAGTCTTACATTTCATTGTGATTATCAGTGGTGATCGTGGGATCAATTGTTGGTAAAGATGCCGAAAGCCGTGAACGTAAGGGTGACCACAATGGACGCGGAACTGGAGTTCGCGATCCAACCCAACACTACTGGCAAACAACTGTTTGATCAGGTCTTGTAGTCATAGTTATGGTGGTTATGCTGTGGTACTGATGGTTATTATGCTGTGATAATAGGTGGTGAAGACGATTGGTTTGCGTGAGA